TATGTGTTCAGAGTCCCTTAGTCTCAATTTGGTACACTAGGTTAGTTGAGGCACCGGGTGCCAATCTCGCTTCCAGGTCGGGGCGTGACAAGTATTTAAGTGAAAGAAGACGTAGAAATTATTGTGTGACTAACTGGTTAAATATTGGTATAAAGTTTGAGAATATGAAATTAGTATAAGTGGATAAGTGTAAAACAATTGTGTTATTCATGTGGGACCATGGCAACTAAAGAAAGATGTGATGAATAGGTATTAAAGGGTGTAATTTATCGGATAAGTCATGATTTTCAAAGTGGTAGCAAATGGGGATGGACCCAATTGTCCACTAACTACAACTATTACCTTTACGTTTTGACGGATATATATATNTGTCAGTGGTACTTTTGACTTGGTAGGCACCTTGGAATACGCACCGAGTATCCTGATCACCAGCAAACACTAAATTGATTGACAGGTTTAAAAAGTTAATCATCAAAGAGAAAATGCATGAGACGATCCGAAAGGTACTTCTTTTAATCCCTTTGCTTCTCATTAGCTGGTTGTACAATTTAGTTAACTAGTATGCTGTTGGAAATGCTGGTTTGCAACACTAGGCACCAATGCTCCATGCATTCTCAGTTCCATATAATCTTCAGTTAACAATTGAACTTAACTTTATGAACTACAGTTTCTTCAAAGCATCAAGTAGGGCTTTAAAATATTTTAAATTTATTTTCTGCAACTACGCTATGACCTATTAGACATTAGCTTATACACTGGACTGTTTATAAGTAACAATTTTTCCACTATATCTTAGAATCATCTAGTAACCACAGATATTTCCACATATGCATTCCCCAAATCAAGATCAGAAGCATTAACAATTGAGTCCTTCAAATGCTGCATCATGCAAATTTAACTACCTTTTGTCCTAGAATTAACACCCTATACATTTTGAAACCAAAAAGACAACCCAAGGCAAAAGAGAAAAGAGGGTGGGGAAGAAAGGGAGCATTTCTGGAGAGAAAAGCTGTGAAATATTACCTGTCAAAGAGATTTGCAACTTCTTCACATTCACGCTGATTATAAAACCATATCCCATTTACTTCTTGGGAAGCATTTCGATACAACAAATATGGAACCTGGACCTCATACTCAAAATCCCCCAGGAGATCCTCCACCAAATTATCTGCACACAGGAATGAACTCTTTGTAAGGCACAGAAATTGAACAAACGTACTCACGCTGAAGGCAAACTCACAAACTTTCTATTGCAACTTATCAGTAAATATGAAATTCATATGAGAAGCTTTACACACCAAATCTCATTTCTGCATGACTCGTAGAATTGGACCCCAGAGTTTAGTGTCAAGACAGAGGCACTAATAGCAAAGTGTTGAGCATTGTTTCAACTAAAGCTTAGTGGTGAAGCCACATGTAGAAAGGGCAAAGGAGGCTTGTCGAACCAAATCTCTCGTGTCTGTCAATTACCTCAGAACATGCAAATGTGAAAAGGATACTTGGTTTTCTTTCTTTTATTAACTAAGTTAGAAAGAGTCCTCAGTGTTGTGCACATTCCTTCTCGTTTATTGAGTAATAATACATTGAATTGTTATTTCCATCTGCCAGAATATATATTATGTGGACAGGGTTTAGTAATTTGATAACTAATTAGTCAACACGCAAGCCAGAAATTTTATTAAGAATATGAGTGACTTCAGGTATCCAATTTTATCAAATGAGAAGTTATTTGCCCACTATTGGTGCGAGTTGTAAGAACTCTTGGTCTTGAGTCGAACCGGGGCATCATTTCATTCTCGTAACACTAATAAGCTTACCACGAGACCAGACCCCCCCTCCCCTTCTCCTCGTAGTAGGCATTTTATGTTCTAAGACGGCGCCTCTTATTCAAAGATAGTCCAACTGCATTCTTTTCTCCTGCTTATTCAATTAACATTCTGTGGATCTGTACTGACATCCAATTAAATGACTTCAAAAGGAAAGGCCAGCCTTCATATTAAAAATTCACATCTGAGTGAAGCAAGTGACCGATCCAAATGCTAAAGCAAGGATTTTATAAGTATCTTTACGTACTTATTTGTTAAAGGATTCTTAACCTCCTCCACCCCCCACAGGCCCGAAGAAAAGGTAACTCTACCTCTGACCCAAAGTGAATGTCATGTAATTTACATTGTTGTGATGCAGTAAAGGCTATAAATAGTATTAGTACAATTCCAGGGTCTCCACATCAAATAGTCAATCATGTATAACTTCATGAACATCTTTCAACAGGGAAAAAGCAAGATACGTTCTAATCAACCAAACACAAAATGCAAGTGGAGAGTAATTTTGAAACTGACCTGTATTTCTTCGGTTCATAACAATAAACTGAAACCGCGGTTGAGAACTCCTGAAACATCCTCTATAAAATTAATCATCACAAAATAAAAAAAAATACAGACCTCAAAATTAAAACTTAAACAAATATTCAATTAAAGATGAGTTTTTAAATACTCACCTCTTGACAACAAATAGAGATCCTTCCACATCCTTTCGACTCTGTATAAGCAATTGAATTACAAATTATATTAAATTGAAAGAGCAAAATAAATAAATAAATTCGGAAAAATGAATTACCCATTGGCTGTTATCGATGTTGAATTCGTAGAAGGTAACATGAGCAGCAGTGATAAGAATCTCTTCAATGAAAGGATCGATACGCTGAAGAACCGTCAAGTTGAGGAGCTTGGTGCTGTTCTGGTCCAGATTCGGCATTAATTTCCCGTTCTGTGACATAATTTTCACCGAATCTTAGAACGGCAAAGTAGCTGTAAGCTGAGGTTCCGAGTGTGAGAGAAACCCTAGGATTGCTCCAGATTGAAGAAAAGCTGTGCTTTGCTGTATATATCTGATGAGAGAGAGGGAAGAGATGATGAACAGGGGTCAGGGTATAGACACATGTATTTAGTTTTCTTCTTCTTTTTTCTTATAAAAATTATTTTTATCAATATTTTTCTGTAAAAGAAATTTCTATAAAAAGTTTCTTCTCGTTTAATTTTATTTTTTGCTTGAGACTGAAGCATGACTACGATTGTGTAAAAATTCTTTATTAATTTCTACTTCTATTATCAATATTTTATATGGAAAAATCTGGGAATTTTCGTTTTAAGACATTAAAAATAAAAATTTGCAAGAAAAATTGGGTACATATTAACTGAAAATATATCACTTTCTAGCACCGAATAATATATGGATTCATGTTCTTTAATTGCTTTGATTATCACTAAAGGGTCATTTGGTACATAGGATAAAAATAATAATTTTGGGATCAAATTTAGAAATAACTCATTTGGGATACTAGTTAATCGCAAGATAACTTTTATAATAAAATGGTGGGATTAGTTATCCCTTATAAATAGTGGAATAACTAATCACATGTGATATATCTCATACCTCGAGTACTTAATTACTTAAGTAAATCTACCTCGTACTCTTCTTTTTTTAATCGAATGTGACTACGTCGAGTACTTCGCTATTGTTGTACACAATACTTCTCTATAATTAACTGAATGTCAGACAATATATTTTTATTAAATAGAGCTAAAATTGTAAAATTTAGGTGGCATTTGTTTCAAAAATTAAAGGAAAAATTCTGAAAAAAGAATTCACCATCTTTTTAAACAAACGCGAAGTTTTCAAGAAATTATGCTCCATACTTTGAAAGTGAGTCAAAGAGCACTACAACAATATCTAAGTATATAAATCTTGAGAGATAGGTTAAGCAATTGTAATATTCAATGATCTTACAGGTTTTTAGGGTAGAGTTTTCCATTTCGTACTGGAGTAAGAGTGCAAGTATTCGAGTCTATCCATGTGACTGTAAATACTTTTTTTACTAATTTTGATATTTCTCATCTAGCCTGGAATATAAGATGAAGAGGCATATGACAACCAGCACTGGATGATTTTGTTTTCTGATAGTCTCTAAACCACTAAAGTGAAGGACCTATCAAAAAAAAAAAAAAAAAAAAAAAAAAAAAAAAAAATCAAGCAAAAGCCTTGCACAAGTTTACTCTCTAAAGTTACAACAATAAAACAACATCCAGTATAATCTCACATTGTGGGGTCTGAGGGCAAAGTGTACACAAACCTTACCCCGAAAGACCCTAGGCTCAAGAAAAACAATTTTCAGCAGGTGAGAACTTTCCTCTCTAAAGTTGCATGGCATTATTCACATACACAAGTAATCGACATACCAACAGTAGCGCAGCAGCACAACAAGTATTACTAAGCTTCAAAGTTCACTTAGAAACATATTGGACGATCCATACAAGATAGAAATCTCAAGACAAAGCAAATACTTGTACTTAGAAAAACACAAGACACTGTCATCCATTTAACTCCGGACTCGGTTCGTCATTCAGTTGCTTTTCCTCTGCTGCGTCTGCTGCTACTGCTGGTTTCTACAAGATAACAAACCATAGAATCCACATCGTCCCCAAATATGCTATAAGCCTCAATTACTCGTGGATAGCTGAAACCCATCGACAGCATAATCTGGATGCAGTCGCTAAAGGTGGAATCTGGCAAGCAGGGCCCACCTTCCTGCCGTATCTCACTTCCAGATGACCCTACAATTCAATGTTAAAATTTACAGTTCAAACCCGCAAACTTATTGATCTTACATCGATAGAGGTGCAACCTAGAAAATAATGTAAGATACTTTAAACTTCATCAAATGTAAGCTCAAACTTACTAGCTCCTGAAGATGATGGCTCAGCTCCGGATGTGGAAGACTCTTGACAACCAAGCTGTTGTCTAAACCTATCACGAGCAATATACTCAGCCCTAGAAGCTTCGATCACCATGCGTTCCATCTCCTTTTCAGTGAGCTCAAGATCTGAGTAGAAGCGTCCTTCAGCCAGAAGCGCCTGAAATGGAACCATTTAACCAAATAAAGACCACAGGAGCATCATGTTTTTGGAAATCATTTCATGAAATTGAACTTTCTAGGTACTTAACGTTATTAATCTGTTGGTCCTGTTGAGCTTTAATTGCAGCTCTTACTTTATCCTTGTCGATGTTTGTCTGCAGGAGAAATAAAAAATATATATCTGAAACTAACAGCTAGGTTTGCAAAGAAACAACATATCATTATAAAAGACTAATGATGACAATCTAAAGTTAATATGTAAAGAAAAATCAGCTTCATAACCTACTAAGTTATCTCATTACAGGACTGCAAAGCGATTAACATGTTTGTTTGCAATTCGAGAGTTTACCCCTTGCAGAGAGCTAAACCCAAGCCCAGCACCAACTGTTAATCGGCAAGGATCAACAAGGGAGTTGTAATGATTTCCATGATGATAACTGAGACGGATAGGAGGGCTGTCTGAGTTATAACTTCCATGGAACGTGTTCATTGGTTCTGCACCAGCAAATTCCACAATTTAATGCAAGCAACTAACAGAGACAAGTCCACAAAGCTGAGCATCACAATCATCACATCATCTCATTTCAAAAAGAACAACCAAAAGTCAGAAAGCGAATTTACCGATGCTGTAAGAATATATATGGATAGGGCGGTTATACATTTCAGATAACGCTTGGATTTCCACATTGTTGCCGTAAACCTCCAACCCAGAAATGAAAACATTAGTCTGGTTAGTCTAACAAAGAACTGACAAACAAAGAAGGATATGCACACAGATAAATGGATGGATAATAGATAAGCAAAACACGATCCACGAGAGCGAAAAATAGCAGAAATCTTTAAAAGAAATGGATATTTTCAGTCTATATGAGTCCTTTAATCTAATCTTTTCCTAGAAAGTAAAGAAGTAAACCTAAGAAAAATCAAGCAGCAGAAACCAACATAAAATGATCGAAAACAGAAACGCTGGTGCAGGTAGGCTGAACACCCCATTCTCCTCGGGATAGGGAAATAGAAAGGAAATTTTAAATATTCATTTAAGGGAAAAAACACAATTTAATCACCGTCCTCCACTCAAAAGAAAATAAGGAACTGAAAATACAATGGGCAATACAGCATACGAGATAATCATATGCATCATAAAGAAATTAGCAAATAACTAACAGTAGAATATAAACATTAGAGGTTCCGATGAGAATAGTATACTTAGCAGTTTGAAATTATTCAACAAACAACTAAAGAAAAGTGAATTCACATCGCAGTAACCAGATATTTTTTCACTGGGCAATCTCTTCATCATTTTTGTGTTGGACTTGACATAGTTCCGAAAAACACTAAAACTGTCTCTAATGATCATCACCTAGAAAATGCGTCATCCTGCATCCTGAGAGATTCTATCAACAGATACCAATTTTTTCAGTTATGCGTAACAAGTGCTCCAATTCTGCTTGCGCCAAGATAGGACACAAGCAACATAATGATTCGGAGAGAGAATTTCTGAATAACCACATAACATACCTTGTCTCTCCTTTTTCTCTTGCAATAGGATGTGAATCCTTCAGTTATAAACTGAGAAAAGTGGTCTCTTTCGCGCTCCTACAACAGAAGATGCTCATCGAATAAATAAAGACACAGTAAATAAGTTATTGGGCTGTGCAGAAAACCATATAAATGATTAAGAAACAGACGCACCAACAATATACACAAAGGAACAAAAGGATAGGAGATTATGCATCAAGCACGTAGATATTAACCTCTATTCAGCGAAACTTCCAATAATGACTTAGGCAAGACGACGACATCATGAAACGGAAACCAAAAAGTAACAATATGCACCTTTACATCTTCCATCACCCATGCCCCAACCAGAAGCAAATAACAAGGCACCATAACCTTAACTCTAGATAATGTTTTAGCCTCTTCTTTTTATTATCTTAGAGCACACTAAACTGTAGGATAAGTTTCAAATTTAACCGGCACTTGGCTAGATGAGGCTTAGTACCTTTGCTAACTGTAGAGAAAGGGTCCCTCAACTTCTAATGCTAAATGAACTGCAGGCTTCCTTCCACTAAACCATTAAAATAATGGAAAATGGTTACATATCTTGGAAGAGAAAGGAAAAATGGAGTCTGCCACGAAACTTAGAACATTTCCTCTTACAAGAAAACCACCACTATCTACACATCCCTAATCCCTACTACCAGAAACTAAACTAAGCTTTCCCTCCTACCCTCAAAGAAAAATGAAGCTCATCTTTGGCCCTGCCCATCACATTGCTTCAGGAAGAATCATACACATACCGTTGGAAGGATATCATACTGAGGATTATTGTAAAGACAAAGAAAAGCTAAGTCGACCAGGTAGCTTGATAAAAAGAGGATGCCCGCAAGGCTCAGTTCAAGTGGCAAAGGTTGAGGGGTTGGTGACTTAGGTCGCAGGTTCGAGCACTGCATCATGCGAACTAAGCCTAGTATTTTTTGATTTTGCACTGGGTGTCCGAGTCTCTTTGAGACCCGACTAATCCCGGGGGTGCACAGGCCCTCGGCAAGGAGTTTCCCGCAAGTGCACCACGGTTAATTCAGGTTTTACCCAGTCCGATGGCCCTCAGAAATTGTTTGCACCCAGTGGGTTTCGAACTTGAGACCTTGAAAGGGAGCAAACCCCAAGGCTCAAGTCAATTGCCACCAGGCCAACCCCTGAGGGTTTAAAACTAAGCCTAGTATTTTAAGTGGAGAAGTAGAGGGGTGGGCTCATTATCCCCGAGTTTCGAAGGTGGTTGGTCCAGACGAAAAGGGAAAAAGCTTGATAAAAAGAAGCTGGGGAACAAAGCATGGGAATTATCATTGGCAACAGGACGGGGAAATATTAACACTATTAAAGAGGCAATGATTTAATGGTTTCAAGAAATTCTAGAAGGGAACAATAAACTAGCAACAAACACTAAAATGCTATACGAATATCAGTTGTTCCTCTTTCTTCTCTTGGGGTAAATAATTCTGTTGCTTCTTTGCATTCTAATCAGTCAACTAATCAACCAACCAAATCCATCCCAATTATATGTGCTGGCTATATGAATACTTTACTTTATTAAAAAAAAAAGCTCTGGCTATATGAATCCTCCCTATTCATTTCGCTCTATTCAGGAGGCAATATAATGGTATGTCTATTCCATTTAATACTAAACCTGAATGCCGATGTAGCACGTCTAGATGAACATTCCCAAACAAATTTAACGTTTAAGAAATTCATCAAGGATTGATTTTTTACATCGACGGTCAAGCTACCGCAACCCACCCTCTCTTGATTCCATATAACAATTTTCTTCTCTAGACAGATTTTTCAAATTTACTTGACATTCATACTTTATATCATGAATTCCAATCACTAACTTAAATATGCTTCAATGATAAATTAGATAATCAGAGAGAAAATGTCCTTTTCATGATAAAACAAAATGTTTCAGTATTCTCTAGATAGAATAGTGAGAGGATATAGATGGGAAGATCTGAAAGAACAATTTCGGCTCTCTTAAATGTACAGGGAGTGGCTATAGATGGGAAGATAAAAAATTTATGTCCATTAACCAATTTATGAAATGCTCCCACCATCTCTAGAACACAGCTCTGCGCAAGCGCAGGTGCTTGGAGGGATTTGAACATCATAAGACTAGTCTCAAATTACACCATTAAGAATATAATGCACAAACCATAAATGACAAATGTTGTCAGTCAAGGGGAAAAGATACTTTAGTTCAGATATTAAAAAATATGCAACAAAGGATACCCCGGCATGCCAAGAACCTACTATAGATAGACATATTGGAAACTACTTTGGCTCTCAAATTAACAGATTCAGTATTTGATTCCAAAGCAGAGGCTTAGGAACAAGATCAATCACTTTTCTGAATCTACCTCTGCATCAAGCATAACGTACTATGTTTATTCTGTTAGTGCACCTTTTCTACTCTCAATCGTACCAGGTCACTGTCGACCAAATTTCATAACTAACAAATCAAGGAGAGAGCTGATATAACTGATGGCCCTCTGATGCACAAAACAAAATGCTAGCTTCATCTCCCTATCTAATGGCATGTTAACAAACAGCGTTTCTACAAGAAACTAAAATCAAGTAATAAAATTTCTCGACCTGCAAAAGAAAGATAAATGAAGTAGACAAATCAAATCGCATTTATAACAGAACGTTTAGTAGAATCATTACCATGTAGTCAATGCACATCTGCCTGACCAAATCATAAGCTTCAGAATCACCATATACTTGGTCAGCAACTGCACGGAAGAGGCAGTTCCCATCTTCCAGCATTTTCTTAACTTCTAAGCCTTTCGCTCTTCTAATATCACTTTCAAACTGGTGCTCTCTCTCCTAAAACAAAATTGTCAAGTTTGCAATTTCAGATATGTACAATCTGCTAGTCAAATCAGTGTACTTGTGAATTACTAGATAGATCATTCTTCACTCGTGCCAAACTACATGAGCGGAATGACCATTCCACTTTGTGCTTGCTCAAACTTGTCATTCCGCATACGGGATAAACGGCCACTAACTGTTTAGAATGCACGATTTGCACAGAACAATGTATTGCTGATTGTATGTGCTTAAGAAATAAAGTGATAATAACCTTCCAAAAGCACATGCTTATAAAAACAAAAATAAGTAATGACCAACTCTACTCCCAAAACAGACAAGGGGATCATAAACTGCAACCTTGATCAGTTTCTAGTAGATAATTTTGGACTTACCATATCATTGCGTGAGGATCCAAATTTGGGGTTCTGCTCATCGGCACTATTATAACCTTCACTTTCGCTGTGTGACCGTGGAGAGGATGGCCTAGATCCCGTAGATGAAGTCCTAGTTGACACATTAGGCCGCCCAACAAGTTCCCTACATCCTAACCGCACTGCATTTGAACTACCTGATGAAAATTCCCTTGGACTACAGCTTAGAGACATAGGTTTAGGAGGTGGGACAGGAGGTGGAGGTGGACACGAACTACCTTTAGCCCCCTGCACAGAAGTTCCCTCATTTTCAGCTGCCTCAACACTTAAACCACTAGATCTTTTTACAGAGTCCCCACAGACAAAAGCACCATCACCTATCTTCTCATTGTCAATAATCTTTTCTTCAAGGTGGCTTCTGTCACTGCTGAAGTTTTCTAATGAAGCATCGTCACCTTCACCTTTGTGGTTGAAAGAACCAACAGAAAACTCATCCAAGACAATAGATTCTGGAAATTCTCCTACCAACTCGTCATCTTTCAGAGCTGATGGTACCTGACTAGTGCTAGAAGCCTGTGGCTGCAATGGAGCTGAAGAAGATGCAGATGATTCAGGGAGTGAAACTGATGACCTGTTCTGGTTTGATGACGACGATGAAGACCCTGTAGAACCTCGCTGAACAAGTATCCGTGTCATTATTGTTGCCCTTCTTCAACTACAGAACCACAAAATAACCACTCTGCCTTTACCCAAATTAGAGAAACACTTTCAATTTGTCACGCTTTCTGGCTTTTGGGGCGGTCACACCAATACCTTTACTGAATGATTTCTTGCAGCAGCCTACTTCCGTTTGATCCTCGCGAACTACTTTCTGCATTCCCGTATATATTCTCATGAGAGCTTCAACTCCAAAAATCTTTTTTGAAACAACAAAACCTCTTCTCTTTAGGTTCCTTGAAATTTCCCAAAAGTAAGCCACGAGCTTAAAACTGCAATTTAGACCAACTAATCATCACGAAATGCTAGATAAAAGAATAGTAGTTTAAAAGTAATCCTACTCCATCACTTACACCACAAGAACATAAATATAAATCAACTACTTCTCAATCCCAAAACTAATACAGACAGATACATGATCCGCTTTAACCAATCTTCTCTCCCCGAACCCAATGCATTCCAATGCTAAACAATTTAGGGGTTCTATAATTTTATTAGATATCATATATTCATAATTATCCCACATACAAATCTATAACACAACTAAAAACACTGATGGCAAGTAAATAGAATAAGTAAAAAATACATCAAAACAAGGGTATATTACGCTAAATACCCGTATACTATCACTCAGTTTCAGGCACACATGTATTTCCATTCTAAATCAAAGACTTAATACCCTGTACTATTAAAATCTTTCAGAAACACTAAGTAAATTCAAAATCCAAGTAGACAAATTAGATAAAATAATTCACAAGAGATCATCAAGTTCAAACTTTTTAACAAAGGCAGGCCAATAGTAGAATAACTAAATCCCACAGACACGATCAATAAAGATGAAGACGCATTAAACAAGGAATGGCGCCAGAGCTTACAAATTGGAAACCCTAGTGTGCGAATTAGGTACTCACTTGATTATGACAGACCTAATTGAAGCAGAAATTCTCACTGGCTAGGGTTTAGTATATAATCTGCGAAGCGAAAAGAGAATGCAATTTACCTTCTAGGCCAAGAAAGATAGTGTATATATTTATGTATTTGTAGAGAGTGTGTTTTCTAGAGTGTGTTTTCTAGAGTGTGTGTGTGTGTTTTAGGTGGCGAAAATGGGTAAAGTTTGTGAGAAAATGGAAGGCGGGGAGAAAGAGAGGAGAAATGGCCACGTCACTTCGAAATTTTACTGGCGACCCCCTTGGTCCGGTCAACGTTCCGTGAAGTGGTGTACATGGAAGCGCAGTATTTTGCACGTGTGGAATGGTGGAAATGTTTTCAAACATATGGAGTTTCATTTTCTACTAATATTGTCTCCTTTTGTCCTTTTATTTTTTTTGTAGGGATAAGTTCTGCACGCACACTACCCCTCCTACATCCCATTAGTAAAATTTTACTGAGTTATTATTATTGTACTGATTTATTAAGTGATGTAATTTACGATAAAAATTAAAAGTTTTTATCTTGAACTTTTCATTGTACCAAAAAAATTGAAAAAAATTTGAAATAGTAATTAAATTTTTAGTTTTATTATATTAAAGAAAAATTCATGTTAATTTCTTTTTTTTTTGGGTTTAGAAGACTACTTCTATTAATTAAAAAAGCGTTACAGGGAGCTATATTTGTGCAACAGAATTACAAACATATGGAACTTGACTACTAGTAGTACAAAATATCCTATTTAGTTTACTAATAGAGTTGTTCCGACTAGACGAAGCATTATCGGACGTTATACAAAAGGATTTGGAATAAGCTTGCACTGGAAAGTGACTACTACTATGTCTGCTTCGTAGATACCCCAGCTTGTAAGCTTTTACGTTTGCCATAACAAAAAGTGGTGGTTGCTCCAAAAAGGTGATATTAATCCCCATAAGTTCCATTCCAAAATGAGTTAGCTGGTCTGCTACTATGTTTTGCTCCATGTAAGCATGTTTCACTGGTGGATCACCCAGCTGGTGGATTAGGTATCTGCAATCATTAAGCACATGTGAATAAATGGTAGAGGGGATATGTAGCATGGTAACTACCTCCGCAACGTCCATATTGATTTTCAGTGGTGTAAGCTTATGAACTAAAGCTAGTTGTAGTCCTCGCAACAATGCCATTGTTCCACCGAAGTGGCTTCTATGTTTCATGCATATCTCTTTACCCAATTCCATTTGTCATCCATGATAACTCCATCAAAACCTGCGATTAGATTAGATAGTCTCATGGCCCCATCTGTGTTAAGCTTAAAGAAGCGTCGTGGTGGTGGTTCCCATTTTAGATATAAGGGAATTATTGATTTTTTGGCCTTGTTAGACTATGTGAGGTAGTGAAATTCAGAGGACATCTGATATATAATCAATGTTTGGGGGTGCGCTTAACATTTTCAAAGCAGTTCTTACTGCGAGTTGTCCATAAGTGCCAAAGAATAAAAGGGACAATTGTATGATGTGGTATAGATTTGAAAGTATTATGATTGTGTAGCATAATAAGCTTTTTAAGCCAAACATAAGTAGGAGCCTCCGCATAACGAATATGTTGTATTATAAATCCTAATTTTATATTAAACCAGCAGTGTCGTGCATTGATGCAGTTAAAGAAGATATGAGGAATAGATTCTTCCTCCTGGTTGCATATGGTACAAGTATTGTGAAAGTACAAGAGGGTGGGGTGAATTGTGGACTATTAAAAACCTAGTTGACTAAGATTTAGTTTAGTCGACTAGCTTTCGTACAGTACACGGATAAGATAGAGATGAATGCAATGAATTTAAAAGCGACACAAGGCACAACAGTTTTTATGTTGGTTCAGTACCGGTGTGATACTTACGTCCAGTTTCCCTTGGGTCACAAGGGTTCTTTTAAATCTTGATAAAGAATTACAACAGTGATGGTTTTGACTCGTTCACCACCAACGATGTTTAGCAACAATGATTTCTGGATGTTGACACAACTCTCTTTTGTGTTTTAACTCCTTCTATCTTTTATGACACTTGTAGACTCAAGAATACAGTGTTTGTACTTAGATTTAGAGAGACTTAGAAGACAGTGTTTGTAGTTGCGCACCGCACTCCTTGAGTTCGCTAGTGACCTTATAGGCAAGTATTTTTGTGTGTTTGTTCTGATTCCAGCAAGCTGTCTTTGATTCTTTCAAGAGAGATGAGTGTTGGATTAAAGCAGGGTGTCTCTGATTTCTCTGATTTCCTCAGTAGTCGACTGTTCTGTTGAAGAAGATTCTTGGATTTCGTTATGTTCCTCAGTTGACTGATCTTGCTGTCAAGTCGACTCCTCTTGACAGTCTTTTCCTGTAACAACAGATTTTGGAACAATAGAAATTTCCTCATCTTCAGGAAATTTTTCATTCCTTGAGTGAGGGTTAGTGTCAACAAAAATAACATGAATTGATTTTTCAATACATAAAGTTCTTTTATTGTAGACTCTATATGCTCTACTTGAGGGAGAATATCCAAGGAATATATCTTCGTCGCTTTTTGGATCAAACTTACCCAGATTGTCCTTTTCATTATTGTGAATGAAGCATTTGCATCCAAAAGGATAAAAATAACTAATGTTGGACTTCTTACTATTCCATAGCTCATATGAAGTCTTTTTAAGAATGGGCCGAATCAAACATTTGTTGATAATATGACATGCAGTGCTTACAGCTTCTGCCCAAAAGTGGTGAGGTAGAGAGTTTTCTACAATCATGGTTCTAACCATATCCTGTAAGGTTCTATTTTTAAGTTCTACCACTCCATTCTGTTGAGGCGATCTTGGTGAAAAGAAATTGTGAGAGATTCCTTGGTCATTGCAAAAGTTTTCAAAGGCTCTGCTTTTAAATTCTCCTCTGTGATCACTTCTGATGGTGGAAATGTAGTATCCCTTTTCACATTGGACCTTCTTACAGAAAACTTCAAATTTTCTTAGGGCTTCATCTTTATGACTTAGAAAAATAACTCACGTAAATCGAGAAAAATCATCCACAATGACAAAAGTATATTTTCTATCACCTATACTAGCAGTTCTAGTTGGACCAAACATATCCATATGCAATAGTTGAAGTGGTTTAGTAGTAGAAATAATATTTTTGATTTTGAAAGATGAGCGAGTTTGTTTTCCTAGTTGACATGCATCACAAATATGATCTTTTGAAAAATCTAGCTTTGGAAGACCAATGACAAGATCATGTTTAGAAATTTTTTGGATAGTATGCATGCTAGCATGTCCAAGCTTTCTATGCCAAACCCAAGGGTTATCGATCACAGAAGCAAGACAAATTTGATTTTTGTTAGTTTATAGATATGTATAGTATAGTTTTGTCCCACATTGGAAGAGGAGTAATATCTTCTTGTAGTGTATAGCTATAAATATGGACCTCTTATATTGTATTTATCATCCAATATCAATAACATATTTTCTCATGTGCCTTCTCACATGGTATCAAAGCATTAGTGAAAAAAGATCGTTGTGCGTCATTCCAGCATTAACCGGGAAGAAAGAACTTAGTCATCGTGCAATTTTTTCGGTGACCTAAGGCTTGTCTAAGTGAAAGTCACTTTCTGTCGGTGTTGTGCTAAAACCAATACCACCACGAGGTAGATCACCCTCCGACGACCAACCCCTGAAATTTTATCCGGCAGAAAAGCCGCCACACTCCTCCACACGCCGACAAAAACAACTTTTCCGGCGAGGGTTCCGACCATTTTTTCGCGAAGCTTCTTCAGGACAGTATGCTCTCCTTAAAATTTCGAGCCTACCCTTCTAATTCAAATCAAATTCCGACCATTTTTACATTTTTCCGGCGTGAACAGTGACCTTTTCGGCCATTTTTTTTGAAAATATTTCTTCAGGACAGCTTGCTCGCAAAGGAATTCCGAGTCTATCCATCCCGGTTAGGACAAATTCCGACAACTTTAGAATATTCCGGCGAGCTACAGTATTTTCGGTGTGAATAGTGTTTTCGACGCAGAACAGTGTTATGTTTTCCTACTGTAAACAGTGTTTTTCAAGCTATTTCTTCAGTTTTCTAGGAATTACTTATTTCCACTATTTCAAGTTAACCCTACTACTATAAATTGTAGAGACATGGGAACCGATGCTTTGAATAGTCGGATGGTTTCTTTAGCATATTATATTGAGTTCCTTCATTATAAAGCATGTAAGTAGATATCTTCTAAGATAGCTTATGTTGTTCAAACAGGTAATATCGTGACTTGTTTCTCCCAATCTTCATCCTCTCAGTCTTGGGTCATTGATTTAGGTGTATCAGATCATATTTCTGGTAACAAATCTCTTTTCACTACTATTTCGTATTCTTAATCTCTTCTAAAAGTCACAATGGCCAATGAGTCTCAAACCATGGCAACTGCAATAGGTCAAGCAAGCCTACTTCCTTCATTACCTTTAGATTCAGTCCTTTATGTTCCCAATGGTCCTTTTAATCTCATAGTTGTTAGTCGCTTAGTTAAATCACTTAAATGCGTTATTTTATTTCTTGATGACCATGTTTTTATACAGGAACGCAGTACGGGGCGGATCATTGGTACCGAGCATGAATAATATAGACTTTATTACCCTATCCTTGCTAAATCACATGGACTCATATCTTGTCTTTCTCCTACAACTTGTCCTTCTACAACTTGTCCTGTTACTGATTCACCAAATTTATTACATAAACGGTTGGGACATCTCAATTTGTCAAAACTTCAGAAAATGGTATCTGGTTTATCTCACTTGTCAACTCTAGAGTGTGAGTCATGTCAGCTCGGTAAGCATACCCGCTCCCATTTCCCCCGACGTCTTGACAATCGAGCAGAGTCACCTTTTACTTTAGTCCATTCAGATGTTTGGGGTCCTAGTCGGGTCAGTTCCACCTTGGATTCCGCTACTTTGTCAGTTTCATTGATGATTATTCCAGGTGCACTTGGATAATTTTGATAAAAAATCAATCTGAGATGTTTTCTATTTTCTAGACCTTCCACGCTGAAATTCAAATTCAATTTGGAATTTCTACTCGCGCATTTCATAGTGATAATGCCCGAGAGTATTTGTCTTCCCCATTTTCAGCAGTTATATGAAATCTCATGGGATTATTCATCAAACATCTTGTCCGTACACATCTCAACAAAATGGGATAGCTGAAAGAAAGAATAGACA